TGAGTAATCGACCCAACACCCACTCATAACACTCCTGGTGAGTATCGGACCCAACACCTACTCATAACACCTGGTGAGTAACGACCCAACACCCACTCACAACACCTGGTGAGTAACGGACCAACACCCACTCACAACACCTGGTGAGTAATCGACCCAACACCCACTCATAACACCTGGTGAGTAACGGACCCAACACCCAATCATAACACCTGGTGAGTAATCGGACCCAACACCCACTCATAACACCTGGTGAGTAATCCAACCCAACACCCACTCACAACACCTGGTGAGTAACGGACCCAACACCCACTCACAACACCTGGTGAGTAAGGGACCCAACACCCACCTCATAACACCTGGTGAGTAACAGACCTATCACCCACTCATAGCACCTGGTGAGTAACGAACCCATCACCCACTCACAACACCTGGTGAGTACGACCCAACACCCACCTACAACACCTGGTGAGTAACGACCCAACACCCACTCACAACACCTGGTGAGTATCGACCCAACACCCACTCATAACACCTGGTGAGTAACGGACCTAACACCCACTCACAACACCTGGTGAGTAATGGACCCAACACCCACTCACAACACCTGGTGAGTAACGGACCCCAACACCCACTCACAATACCTGGTGAGTAACGCACCCATCACTCACTCATAACACCTGGTGAGTAACGCACCCATCACCCACTCATGACACCTGGTGAGTAACGAACCCATCACCCACTCATAACACCTGGTGAGTAACGGACCCAACACCCACTCACAACACCTGGTGAGTAACGGACCCAACACCCACTCATAACACAATTAACCCTGCAGGTGAAGACAGGTAACACCATCCGCCGCCTCGCTGTTACCAGATACTAAACGTGAGACAACAAGACCCGGGTGTGTGTGAGACAGACAGACAGAAGGAGAGACAGAGAGAACGACAGATAAACAGGTAGATAGAGAAAGTGAGACAGAAAGACAGACATAAAAAGAAAAAAAGAGATACAAACAGACAGACAAAGACAGACAAAAAAAGAAGAGATACAGACAGACAGACAGACAGACAGACAGACAGAAAGAAAGAGAGCTATGTACACACAGACAGAATGAGAGACGCATACAGACAGAGAACGACACAGACAAACAGACAGAGAACACCAAATAAATAGAGAGAAAGAGACAGAGACAGACAGAAGACATAAGGTAATGAGATAAAGAGAACAGAGAACATGAGACGTCTAAGGCTCACAAGAGAATAACGATGATGAAGAGGAAACAGCACTCACGGTGAGAGATGAGTGGGTGAGAGATGAGGAGGGTGAGAGATGAGGAGGGTGAGAGATGAGGAGGGTGAGAGATGAGGAGGGTGAGAGATGAGGAGGGTGAGAGATGAGGAGGGTGAGGGATGAGGAGGGTGAGAGATGAGGAGGAGGGGAGGAGGAGGAGGGTGAGAGAGGAGGAGGAGGATAGATGAGGATGAGGGGGTGGAGAGATGAGGAGGGTGAGGTGAGAGAGATGAGGGGTGAGAGGTGAGGGGAGGGTGGAGAGATGAGGGGGGGGAGAGAGGAGGGTGAGAGATGAGGGAGGGTGAGAGAGCAGAGGAGGGGTGAGAGATGAGGAGGGGTGGAGAGATGAGGAGGGTGAGAGAGATGAGAGATGAGGAGGGTGAGAGATGAGAGAGAGATGAGGAGGGTGAGAGATGAGGAGGGTGAGAGATGAGGAGGGGTGAGAGATGAGGGGTGAGAGATGAGGAGGGTGGGGAGATGGGGGTGAGGATGGGGGAGGTGAGGATGAGATTGAGGATGGGGAGAGAGGAGACGAGGGGTTGAGGACGAGGGAGGGTGAGGACGAGGAGAGTTGAGGGGTGGGGAGGATGAGGATGGGAGGGTGAGAGATGGGGAGAGTGGGAGATGAGGGGGTGAGATGAGGTGAGATGGGGAGGGTGAGAGATGGGGAGTGAGAGATGGGGGGTGAGAGAGATGGGGAGGGGGATGGGGGTGAGGATGGGAGATTGAGAGTGGGGGAGGAGATGAGATGGGGGTGAGAGATGAGGAGGGGGTGGGGAGATGGGGGAGTTGAGGAGATGAGGGGGTGAGATGGGGAGGGTGAAGGGATGGGGGAGTTGAGGATGGGGAGGGTGAGGAGGTGAGAGTGTGAGAGATGAGGGGTGAGGATGAGGTGAGGATGGGGAGGGTGAGATGGGGGTGAGGAGATGGGGAGGGTGAGGATGGGGAGGGTGGGGATGAGGAGGATGGGGGGAGGTGAGATGGGAGGGTGAGAGATGAGGGGTGGGGAGATGGGGGTGAGGATGGGGGTGAGATGGAGAGGGGTGAGAGGATGGGGAGATTGAGATGGGGGTGAGGATGGGGGGTGAGGGATGGGGGTGAGAATGGGGAGATGAGATGGGGTGAGATGGGGAGGTGAGATGGGGGTGGAGAGAGTGAGATGGGGTGAGAGATGAGGTGAGAGGATGGGGAGATGAGGATGGGGGTGAGAGATGAGGTGGGGTGAGATGAGATGGGGAGATGGGAGTGGGGTGAGAGATGGGGGTGAGATGGGGGTGGGGATGGGGAGTTGAGGATGAGTGAGATGGGGGTGGGGATGAGGGGGTGAGAGATGGGGGTTGGGGATGAGGTGAGATGAGGGGGGTTGAGATGGGGAGGGTGGGGATGGGAGAGTGAAGGGGGGATGGGGTGGGGATGGGAGAGTTGGAGATGGGGAGAGGGGATGAGGAGGTGGGAGATGAGGGAGTTGGGGATGAGAGTTGAGGATGAGGGTGGGAGGATGGGGGGGGATGAGAGATGAGCGATGGGGAGTTGAGGATGGGGAGATGAGGGGATGGGAGGTGGGGATGGAGATGGGGATGGGAGATGAGGAGGTGGGGAGTTGAGGGATGGGGGTGGGGATGAGGGGGTTGAGGATGGAGAGGATGGGAGGAGTGGGGGGTGAGAGATGGGGGGTTGGGGGATGAGGTGGGGGATGGGGTGGGGTGAAGGGATGGAGTTGGGGATGTGGGGGTGGGAGGGGATGGGGAGAGTTGGGGAGATGGGGTGAGGATGAGGAGGTTGAGGATGGGAGGTTGAGGATGAGATGAGGATGGGTAGGGGTGTGGGGGGGATGGAGATGAGGATGGGGAGTTGAGGATGGGGGGTGAGATGGGGAGAGGGGATGAGGGAGGTGAGGATGGGGGTGGGGATGGTGGGGTGGGGATGAGGGATGGTGAGGATGGGGATGGGGAGATGGGGATGAGTGGGGGATGGGGGTTGAGGGGATGGGGGTTGGGGATGGGAAGATGAGCGATGGGGGTGAGATGGGGGAGTTGAGGGGATGGGGGGGTGAGAGATGAGGGTGAGATGAGGGTGAGGTAAGGGGTGAGATGAGGGGGGTGTGTGAGATGGGGTGGGTGAGGAGGTGAGAGAGATGAGCGATGAGGGGTGAGAGATGGGGGGGTGAGAGATGAGGGAGGGTGAGATGGGGGTGAGAGATGAGGAGGGTGAGAGATGAGGAGGTTGAGAAGTCAGGGGGTGAGTGATGAGGCGGGCGTGTGTGTATGTGGCGGTGGTGTTGACTGATAGATAGATAGATAGATAGATAGATAGATAGATAGATAGATACATCTACGTTACAAATTTAATTAAAAGTTCCACTCATATGACACGGACTGTTGTTCATCTTGACTATAATACTTCAGTGTGTAACATCACCTTTACCCCATACTCTGGACTTACAGGAGCAGGAAAAGTGGAGGACATCAAAAAATGGTGGGATTTGGTAACATCGCGAGGCTCAAATAGGGTACCACCCAAACGCCAGCAAGTCCTTCCTCATTGTGAAGCCAGAATATTATGAACGGGCAATGGAGGTGTTTGGCGGAAGTGAGGTCAAAATAACAAAGGATGGCCAAAGACATCTAGGCGCAGTAATTGGCACTAGGACTTCACGACCGAGCTGCAAGGGAAAGGTAAATGAGTGGGTCAGAAATCCAAGCTCTGTCTGAGATTGCTAACACAGAGCCACATGCAGCTTTTGCGGCATTCACCCATGGAGTCAAGCATCGCTGGAACTACCTGATGCGCACTCTCCCTAATATCGGACTCCTCCTCCTCCCTCTGGAAGAAGCTATCAGTGTCAATTTCATTCCCAAATTAGTGAAACACCCTCTTACCAACAGAAAGATCACTCCTTGCACTACCACCGATACTGGGAAGAATGGAACTTACCAAACCAGAGGAGACTGCTGTCACCGAGCATCAAAACTCAGTTAAGCTCACGGCATCCCTCACGGACCACATAATAGCTTAGAACGCAAAAGGGGAGGTGGATACCAGTGAAGTAAACAGGATTCGTAGGTCCATTACGACAGAACGACAGCACAGCCAAAGTGATAATCTGCAGCAACTGTTGCTGCAGGTACCAGATAATTTGAAAAAAAAAGTAGCTATAGGCGCCTCGAACTGGTTAACTACGTTACCGATAAGGGCAAATGGTTGCAGCCTTAATAAACAGAAATTTACAGATGCCGATGCTCTAAGGTACGGTGGGCCAGTAGAAGGGTTGCCCTCCCAATGCGTGTGTGGCTCTACCTATGACGTCGATCATGCCATGGTGTGCAAGAAGGGGGGCTTCATATGCATGAGGCATGACGAGGTAAGGGATCTCACAGCAAATATGTTGAAGGAAATCTGCCGGGACGTCATGGTGAACCGACCCCCTTCCACTGGATGGTGAGATCTTCCAACACAGGACTTCAAATACATCTAACGAAGCCGGTGTGGACGTAGTGCTCGAGGATTCTGGGCTGGGACAGCGAGCCTTCCGACATCAGAGTTTTTGATCCCATGGCCGCATGTCACCTGTAGCAAGCTCTCGATGCTGCACAGGAGGAACGAGAACGACAAGATAAGGGCATATGAGGAGAGAATTCAGAACGTTGATCAAGGCAGCTTCACTCCTCTGGTACAACCTCTGGTGGGATGGGACCAAGTGCAAGATGCTTATGGCCGAACTGAGGTGATATCGAACAGAAGCAGCAGCCAAGTTATGTTACAGCCTGGATGAGATGTCACTGTCCTTCTCTCTCTCCTTGGTCGGCTTTGCTCTGCCTCAAGGGAACAGAGCATCTGCTAAGCCGACAACAGTTGCAAATATTAACTATGAGGCAACAGTCACTGAATGCCTCATAGATCTGCGGCTCAACTAACTCAACACAGTTAGGATAGCTACTTATGTATTAGGATATTTTAAAAGGTAATAAAATGGCGACGAAGGTGTGGCTATTGGGGGAGGCTGGAGGCCACGTAACAGTATGTAGTAGTAGTGTTGTTGTTGTTGAGGTAAGAGGTGAGTGTTATAAGATGCGTGTCTCCTCCTCTCATCTCCCAGGTAACCGAAGCCAAAGTGAATCTCTCTCTCTCTCTCTCTCTCTCTCTCTCTCTCTCTCTCTCTCTCTATCTTTATCTCTCTTTGTCTGTTTGTTTGACTGTCTTCTTTCTGTGTTTGTCTTTCTCAATGTCTACGTCTATCTGTCTATCACTTTCTTTATCTACGTCTGTTTGTCTGTCTCTTCAATGTCTCTCTGTCTCGTTTTCCGTTTGTGTACGTAAGTGTCTCTTTGTCTCTCTATATCTATCTCTCAGGTAAACAACGCCATCTGACTAAGAGATATATATATAGATAGAGAGAGAGAGAGAGAGAGAGAGAAAACAAATACTCTGAATCTGTCACACAGAACCCCTCCTCAGTGGCATATTGAATACTGTTATATGGTGTTTATAAAATGTGATATTCCGACAGGGATTTTTTTGGACGCTTGACATGTATGTTGACACGTTCCTTACTAGCTTTGTTTCCACGCGCTCTCTCACTCTCTAATTTTCTCTCTCACTCTCTCTCTCTCGTTATGAAGAATTCCCTTTGTGATTGAAACTCAAAAATAATTAACACCGGCTAAATCCGTCCATTCGGCAGACCAGGTTAACACAATACTATTTCAGTATCGCATAAACCAGAAGACAGTTTGTTGTTGTATCTCTGGGGAGGGAACAGGAGCCAGTGCTTGTAGGTTAGCTCACCTGCAGGATGACACTCACTCACTCATCCTCCAGAGACTTGACAGTAGCGCCGGCCCAGTGTGTGTGTGTGTGTGTGTGTGTGTGTGTGTGTGTGTGTGTGTGTGTGTGTGTGTGTGTGTGTGTGTGTGTGTTTGGCAGACTCCCATGCCGTGTCTTCAGCTGTGGGGCTGAAATTATCTACAAAGTTACACGTATATCGAGCAGTGGTCCTCCCCACCCTACTACATTGCAGTGAGACATGGGTCACATACAGGAGGCACCTCAAGGCACTTGAAAACTTTCACCAACGTAGTCTACGTTCCATCCTCCCAGTTCGCTGGGAAGACAAGAGACCAGAGGCCAGTATTCTCGCCGACACCAACTGTAGGAGCATCGAGGCTGCCATTATCCATGAACAACTACGCTGACTGGCTATGTTACCCGCATGGACGACAGTAGACTGCCAAAGCAGCTACTTTACAGCCACCTAACGAAGAGTAAACGTAACGCTGCGGGCAACTAAGAAGGTATAAAGATAGTCTAAAGACAAACCCTAAAAGTGTGCCAAATCGACCCCCTCACCTGGGAGACGATCACTCCCACACACCATGTAACGCTTGGAGGAACATCACATGAGAAGGTGTCAGTACTTTCGAGTTAGCCCGACTGCATACTGAGGCAGACAAGCGCCGACGTCGGAAAAACGCTGGCCCTCCCGCACGAGATGTAGCCCTCCACACGTGCAACATCTGTGGACGACCCTGTCGGTCTCGCATCGTCCTCTCGAGTCACCTCAGAGCTTACCAACAACTCATATCATTGTATCATAGGTGGATGATCATTATACTCGATTCAGAGTAACAACAAAATAATATAGTAGTAGTAGTAGTAGTAGTAGTAGTAGTAGTAGTGTGTGTGTGTGCTTTGTTGTGTGTGTGTGTGTGAGGTATCATGTTCTGCGTTCCAAAAAAACGTACCGTATCCCTCCCTTTCCCAGGACCCCTTCCCGCCCACCACCCTCTCTCCCCACCCCTCCTCCCACCCCTCCCCAGAGGAGAATTATAATTTTTAGAGAGTTAATTAAGCTGTGGAGTGAGCAAGCATAATATTATTGAGTGCTGTGGTCCTCCAGGCTAGACTGTCATCGTCTCGTGTTGTTGTGGTCTGTTACCACTACAGTACTAATGATCTTACTCCACCGGAGGAACTCTTGTCGGGGTGAGCTTATTCTTCTCGTGGGGATTTTATTTTGACAACGAATGAGAATAAAAAAAGTATAAGCAGATAGATAGATAGATGAATGAATGAGAGATAGATAGATGAATGAATAGATTGATAGATAGATAGATAGATAGATGAATGAATAGATTGATAGATAGATGGATGGATTGATGAATGAATAGATAGATAGATAGATGAATGTAGATGAATGAATTGATTGATGAATAGATAGATTGATGGATGAATGAGCAGAGATAGATAGATAGATAGATGAATGGATAGATGGATGGGATGGATGGATAGATAGAGGAAGAAAGAGACGTATACACAGAGAAAGAAATAGGGATATATATATATATATATATATATATATATATATATATATATATATATATATATATATATATATATATATATATATATATATATATATATATATATATATATATATATATATATATATATATATGGAGAGAGCGAGAGAATACTATCATTAGCTAAACCCATTTTCTACCCGATTAATTTTATTTTCTCTCTCTCTCTCTCTCTTCATTTTCTTTCCATTCTCTTTCTCTTTTCTTCGATTCTCTCCTATTTAACTCTTATTCCTATTCTTCTCACTACCTCCTTTTTCCCACTTTCCTTCTCCCTGTCTTCTTCTCCTCTATTCTTCCTTCTCTCAGCCCTTCTTCCTTCTCCATCTCAATTCCTCTTTTATCTAATCTCTCTTTCTCTCTCATCTTCTTCTTACTCCATTCTTTCTAACTCTTTATGATGGACATTCATCCTTCCTTCATTTTCATTCTTTGTCTTTCATTCTTATCCCTTCTCCTTCATTCATATTCATTCTTCTTCAATCTTGTTGTTTTTCTTCAGATCTTATTCCTTCTCCCAAATTCATCTCTTTTCTTAATACATCTCCTTCATTCTTCATCCCCTTCTCCTCCATTCGTTACCCTCCTCCTTCATCTTCTCCTCGCACTGGGCCATAAACGACCTGTTATTGGCCAGTTGTCTTTATTGATACCTCGTAAATCCTGTCTGTGTGTCAGTCCTGAGTGGTGCTTGGTACTCTCTCTGTCTGTCTGTTTGTCTGTCTGTCAGTCCTGAGTGTGCTTGGTACTCTCTCTGTCTGTATGTGTGTCTGTCTGTCAGTCTGTGCTTGATACTCTGTCTGTCTGTCTGTCTGTTTCTGTTATATATATATATATATATATATATATATATATATATATATATATATATATATATATATATATATATTTTTTTTGTCTGTCTGCCAGTCCTGAGTGGCCCTTGGTACTCTCTCTGTCTGTCTGTAGTAAACAAAATGACCGTCCGCTTAACCTCTGACCTGATGCCAATTAAGCTGTCCACTTCACCTCTGTCTCGACTACTGTTAAACTGTTCACCCAAATTGACTGGTAAGACTTTCTTCTAAACTGCCTGTTAAACTGTTCACTTAAACTGTCCCTTTTAACTGTATATTAAACTGTTCACTTAAACTGTCCTTCTATTAACTGTTTCATAAACTGCCCTGTCTATTAAACTGTTCACTTAAACTGTCTGTCTATTAAATGTCCACTTGACCTTTGATCTAAAAGCAGATTAAACTGTCTATTTACAGTCCACGTTAGCTGGCATCAATACAAGCGACAGTCAACAGATTGCTAAACTTTTAGTAAATACAACATATATATACTACCTGTATCTCCCACACACACACACACACACACACACACACACACACAAAACAAACACACACACACACACACACACACACACACACACACACACCTCAATAAGCAGGTATAATATTACCTTTATACAGGCAATCACATTAATGAGAGTTATCAGACACTAGTTTAATATCTCAATGAATCAAAATCTTTAAATAAATCAAGTTTTTTCTTCTGTTTAGAAAAAATGTATGATTTTTTTGTTGAAATTTCTGAAAGCATTATATCGGCTAGGAAGGATTGAGAAGCACACTTGTGCAGGAAGAACTACTTGGAGCTGAGAGGGATGATGAGAAACACTACTTGGGCTGGGGGGCTGATGAGAAACTCTACTTGGGCTGGGAGGGCGTGAGAAACACTACTTGGGCTGAGGGATAATGGAAACACTACTGGGCTGGGAGGTGATGAAGACTACGTGAGAGGGCTGATGAAAACATTACTTGGGCTGGAGGGGCGATGAGCTACTGGCTGAGGAGGGTGAAACACTACTTGGGCTGGGAGAATGATGAGAAACTGCGCTGGGGCTGGGGATGATGAGAAACACTACTTGGGCTGGGAGGGCGATGGCTCTGGTGGGAGGTGATGAAACACTACTTGAGCTGAGAGGGGTGATGAGAAACACTACTGGAGGAATGATGAAAACACTACTTGGGCTGAGGTTGATGAGCTACTTGGGCTGGGGGCGATGAGCTGCACTTGGGCTGGGAGGTGATGAGAAACACTACTTGGGCTGGGAGGAATGATGAAACACTTGGGCTGGGAGGATGATGGAGCACTACTTGGGCTGGGGGCGATGAGAAACACTACTTGGGCTGGGGGTGAAAACACTGGGCTGGGAGTGATGAAACACTAGCTGGCTGGGAGGATGATGAAACTACTTGGGCTGAGGAGGGGTGATGAAAACACTACTTGAGCTGGAGGATGGAGTGATAAACACTACTTGGGCTGAGGGGTAGTGAAACACTTGGGCTGGGATGGGTGATGAGAAACACTACTTGGG